TCAAGACGGGGAAAACAAAACAGCGACTAGAAGACGGAGAGAACAAGACAGCGACTACTAGACGGAGAAAACAAAACAGCAACTAGAAGACGGAGAGAACAAGACAGCGGCTACTAGACGGAGAAAACAAAACAGCGACTAGAAGACGGAGAGAACAAGACAGCAACTACTAGACGGAGGATAGAAGACAGCGACTACTAGACGGAGAAAACAAAACAGCAACTAGAAGACGGAGAGAAGAAGACAGCGACTACTAGACGGAGAAAACAAGACGGCGACTACTAGACGGAGAAAACAAAACAGCGACTAGAAGACGGAGAGAACAAGACAGCGACTACTAGACGAAGAAAACAAAACAGCAACTAAAAGACGGAGAGAACAAGACAGCGGCTACTAGACGGAGAAAACAAAACAGCGACTAGAAGTCGGAGAGAACAAGACAGCGACTACTAGACGGAGAAAACAAAACAGCAACTAGAAGACGGAGAGAACAAGACAGCGACTACTAGACGGAGGATAGAAGACAGCGACTACTAGACGGAGAAAACAAAACAGCAACTAGAAGACGGAGAGAAGAAGACAGCGACTACTAGACGGAGAAAACAAGACGGCGACTACTAGACGGAGAAAACAAAACAGCGACTAGAAGACGGAGAGAACAAGACAGCGACTACTAGACGGAGGATAGAAGACAGCGACTACTAGACGGAGAAAACAAAACAGCAACTAGAAGACGGAGAGAACAAGACAGCGAATACTAGACGGAGAAAACAAAACAGCGACTAGAAGACGGAGAGAACAAGACAGCGACTACTAGACGGAGAAAACAAAACAGCAACTAGAAGACGGAGAAAACAAGACGGCGACTACTAGACGGAGAAAACAAAACAGCGACTAGAAGACGGAGAGAACAAGACAGCGACTACTAGACGGAGGATAGAAGACAGCGACTACTAGACGGAGAAAACAAAACAGCAACTAGAAGACGGAGAGAACAAGACAGCGACTACTAGACGGAGAAAACAAAACAGCGACTAGAAGACGGAGAGAACAAGACAGCGACTACTAGACAGAGGATAGAAGACAGCGACTACTAGACTGAGAAAACAAAACAGCAACTAGAAGACGGAGAAAACTGGTTAACAAAACCATAATTCAGCTCCAGAATCCATTGAACAGGAGCAAAACATGAATATAGGAAAATTTTACATTGATCATTGAAAAAAAAGACCACGAGCCGGAAGGGCAAACGCCTTATACATCGTTGACACCGTCCTACGATAAATATTTTTCAATATAAAGAATGCTAGGTCCTCCCATGAGAGTTCGGTATATTACAGCGAAAATCGCTCAATGAGTCATAAAGGCGACCATTATCAATCTCTAGAAACACAGTTTTGTAAATGTATCTGCCATCTGTCGACGTCTTACACGGAAATCGTGATATTGGGAACGAGTTATTGAATATCGAATCAACTGCAACACGTCAAATGATAGTCTGAGGAAGCAATTATGTTACTATCTAGAAACGTAAAGTTTACGATAAATAAATCATCCTACTTATCATGACCTTGTAAGTACAGTGGTAAACGACTCCTTAAGCCTGTCTTCTTCTTAATTTTCAATTGTGTGTTACTATCACTTTCAGAAAAATGTTTTATTGACGATGCCCCGTCTAGAGAACTACGTGGAAATGACAACTCGCCAGTTGAAGAACTATGATATATACTACAAAGACTCCGAACCTTCTCGTCAGTGACCATCATTACAGTAATAAACCACATCTTTACTTGGCAATGTCTTTTCTGTACAAGTCGACAGGTTCTTGTGTTATATTACTGACATATAATGGTCCCTACAGTGAGAGGAGCTTGAAACACAACAGGTCTAGATATATCGTGACAGAGTAGGACATCGCGTGTGACGAATTAATCATCTGGTATTTATAAAGATGTTACTAAGATTTAAAGAGATGACTACTCTCCTATCACCAAACTGTTTTTTAATCTCACTGACGTGATTCCAGATCATTCGAATCGCAGGAAACATGCAATCTTCCTCAAGTCATACCCTAATTTCACTCTAAGGCATGAATTGCAGACAATTAATTAAATTAACCGGACGCTCAGTTTAAAGCAGAATACGTTAATCCGGAATTTTCTCTCTCAATGTCACAATAGAACGGCGGTCACTTCATCAATAGAAAATGATTGAAAACATAATATTCTAATATTCAATTCAAATCATAAAGTAAATAAAAAATATCTTTATAAGAATGAAGATTTACAAAATGTGTTTTACATTCAGTCCTGGAAGCATATATTGGAGGAATACTATGCTACACTCATAACAGAATGGAACACCTTGTCTTACAAAAAAGGATAATCGTTAAAAGGAACGGGCAAATTTTCAAAAGAGATGTTGGTGACGTTTTGTGAGAACAACACCACATCACCAGACATGACTTCAGTGATTTCATCGTTTACTGGTGTAACAGTACATGCCAGTCTGTCACATCCGTCTGGAGACAGACGAAGTATCTTATCACTATATAACACGCCTGGAGCATGTAAAATGTGTATACCACAGGTTAAAGCTGAGTTTGTGTCGAAGTCTGGAGTGTACGGCTATAAAACATTAAGTTTGGTAGATGTTTACCTGTGGTTAAAGGCTATTTAGTGTAGTTATTTCCATCTGATGACGATACTATGACACATGCTGGCCCTCAGGGTTTTGTTAAAACTTCGATGTTGTGTTTCTAATTTAAATGAGCTTAGTGTGTTTTAATATAATACGGTCTACTTCCCTGTGTGTCACGAACACACCTGGAAAGCTTCGTCGTATGATACTGTCACTTTGCACGAAAATAAAATATCTATTGTCATGGTAACATGTTGTAAAATGATACTGTACTCAGAAGTGATGAACCCTTCCACAAGATATTTATAATAAAATTATCTTAGTCATGATACAATACAACCTACTATTAAAAACGCCTCTTCTTTTTGTTAAATTATGCCAAGATTGTTAGGGAAATGTTAAGTTATGTGTGGGAAATCATTATGCGAGTTGGCCCGTGTATCTTTCGATTTTGTTGAATACAAATGCGGGCAATTACCACCCAAAAAAATAAATTTAGCTTATTTCAACTTGTCAAGATGATTCAGCCGTTTACAAATATACTGATTTGAACAGGAAGATACATAGGTACGGACGAATGGATTTGAATGCTATTTGATAGTGTTAAAATTATCACTGCCGAGTCAGGCTGAAGATCATTCCTATATTGAGTATCACTCACACTAGCTGACACATGGGTATATCGGGACAGTTTATCTGCATATTTTGTTTTCATTGGAGCATGGAGGAAAGAATTGTTGACATTCTCTGTTTGTAAAGAGAAGCTTGTTTGGGTAAGATTTACAACTCCGTGTAGATTACATCATCTGGGGTTATCTGACACCATTTCGTCATCAGGGTTTACAACTGAAATATTATTTCGGATTGACTTACGCAGCATTTCAAGTCAGAAGTATGAGTATTGTCAACACTGTGGCTGAGTTGGAAAATGGCTGGGTGTGGTGGATGTGAATGAGAAGAGACCAAGTGATATGGCGAGGGGGTCGTTATAACTTATAGCATGTGGGGATAGAAAAGGGCCATTTATACAGGGATCTGGGACCGTTCTACTAAGTAGCATAACCTACGGCGGAAGGAGGGCGGCTGGCGGGGTGTCGAGCGAGAGATGATAGTAATCTCTTCAGATTCACACGAGACGACATAAGGTGGGATATGTCTAGCTATATCACGTGTTGTCATCCCACAAACGTAAACAAGCAAGCAGATACCTCCCATAGTTAATCATCAGCATGTACATGTCAACGTAATGAACGTGAAAACGATATGCACGTGCATGTTGGATAAAAATAAAAACAATTCTCATGCATGTAAACACACGTGACTTACAGCCTGACGGATTGTTGAGTAAGGCATGTGGAATCACACCTTATGGCTAGCAAGTAGAATTTCCCGGATTTATAAAAGATCACGAGTACTTACATAAGTAAAATTAATAGTGCGGTATCATGCCGGAAGTGTAAAACAACAACAGCTAGTATACTTTGACAAGACAGCTGTAAATCTCTAGTATATCACTGGGTTTGATAGGCACAATAAGGAACATTACCGGAGGCAAGTACATCAATCTAGTACACGTTAAATACGCGACCGATCTTCCAAACGCTTCCGCTTTATCTAAAAATTCTAGAATGAAGTTTTCATTATTATACATAAATTATTGTTAAATGTAAATTAAAATAGATTAATTTAAATATTTATGCAAATGATCTCAAGGGAAATTAGACAATCGGCATTGATACATAAATCCTGTACTTCATATCTCAGCACAATGTGTGATATTACAGCGTGCTTTTTTAATCGGGGGTAGGGGAAGATGAGAGAGGATTGGGGGGGGGGGGGGGGGCTAACGACTGTACAGTGATATTAATGGTGTAGTACTAGATGACTGTACCACCACATGTTGCTTATCATACATGTCGAAGATTAAAGTAATCTGTGACCCGAAGTCTACACGTGTGTAAGTAGTATATCACCAGCCAAATACATCGTAAATATGAAAGGACTACCAATAACTCTATATACATCGTTATATTTACACGTACGCAAGTGCTATCGTGTACACCAAGCACTTCGTCTCAAAATATCTTAGATCCGTGACCATACATCTCCAATAAAAGGTAAAAAAAATGGTTGTTGCAGTAAGAACTACACCTGAGATTAGAATGACCTAACTATAACGTTTGTGTCGACAACACGTGCCCAATTAGTACAGACGTAAATAATAGTAAATACACATATGCACGTATGAAAACGAAAACTAAACAAGCAAAGGCTTTGTATAAAACTCAAAAACGATATCAATATATGAGTTCTTAAAGACGTACGTTATAAATAGCCAGACTAGTAATTAATTGTCTCACCTCCAAGATATGTCACATGTCCACATTAGATCCAATGTCATACAACAGTCCCAGACGTCTACAGAACAACACTTACGTATACTAGTACCACTGTAGTTATGATACCTGTGAGTAGTGGAGGAGTGCCCCGTGTTCTGTCGACCGTGGAAACAGGTCACACAATAAAGGATACGGTAAATGTTTACAAATAAGTGGTGTTTTGATTATTTATATATGTGATCGAATGTTTGTTTACAATCTGTGGTAAAACTTTCTATTTATGATAAATTCTTTGCTCTTTCCCGAACCAGGATATTTGTAAATACAGCTGATTACATAATCTCTACTCCTCTGTTGCATACACTCGTTTCGTTCCCGCGCTATGACCGTTGTATCACAGTAAGACATTTACGCTAACAGGAAGACATTTCAGACAAAGTTCTGCTGTCATGAGATCTTTGTCGTTTGACAGATACCACCGATAATTTTCGGTAAACTCCGGTCGGTTCCGTTACATCTCACGGAAAATGTCGAAACATAACCGATATTTGAAAGCGAATAGGATTTTTATCACTATACGTTTTATTTCATTTCAAACGTGTAATCAGTCATTCACTTGTAAAAAATACTTATACACCGATTTAATAAAAAAGAATATCTTCAAGTTCAGAGAGAAAGACCACAGAAATATACTGAATGATAAAAATTAACGAAGATCAGAGACGCTGTTCCATTAATGTATAATGTGGTGATTTATAACCGGTCATAGTATGATGATAGGGCTAACTGGACACCTTTAAATCTAATTAATCATTTCTGTAAGTCATCAATCAAAATTAACTCGACAATAATTAGAACAATCATTAAAATTAAGATAAAGTAGCTGAGATATAGTGTCATAGTAAAGAACATCTGTCTAAATAAACCATTGTTCTGCGCTCTCGAAACAAATTCGTTTACTAATTATCCAATTAAACGTAAATGTCATAAAACAATTTACACACATAGATTAGGAAATATAAATGCATCACAGACTTTCCACGTTTAAGTTATAAATCTCGAGAATAATGTAACACAATTATTATAATTGAACTTGGCTTGTTGGCCGGGTTTACCGTCCTGTTAACAGTCAAGGGTCATTTTAAAGCTTGCTCTCCTTGTGACTTTCTCAATGAATAACATATAAGAGGCGTATAATCAAGGGTAAAGAATCTTGCCCAAGGATGCAACTACAACGGCCCGGAATGGTCTGTTTCTCAGAATGGACTGGTCTGGAACGGAACGCGTACGGCGATCCATGAATATATATCAATATTGTATCTACTAATAAACCCGCCAGAAAGACATTTTAATGGTCACATTTACTGCACAAACTACATACTTTAGTCTAATATTTTAATGAACAAAAACAGTAAGAACACACTCAGAAACGCGGTATTCTTTGGTTTCCGACTGGCACAAATTCACTTATCTTATCTTATCGTTTACAGGTTATGATATAAACGAACTATCGTGATTGAAACTAATTGTCAACACTTAATAAGATACAATTATGACTACATACATCTCCAAACTATAAACTTTTCAAACACTCAGTTAAAACGCGACATGACATTGAAAGAATTCGATTGTTTTACTAATTTGCAAAAAGAAAATGTTTTTTCAGCGATTGCCAGTCGGTGGAATGCTATAGATCATTACTGTTAATCACCGCAGACTGTGTATCTATTAAGCAATTATAATGAAATAAAAAATAGATGTGTTTGTATTATGATAAATGACATAATGTACCATGCGCAATCAAATTGCTGTTGTACAAATCTGCATCTACCTTCTGTAATATCGTATCAACTTATAGAAGTACACCGCCGTTAAATGACTCTTTCAAATAACACTGTGGGTGGGCCTCTAACGGAACTTAAGAAGTATTAGCCCAAATGTCTGATTTGTTTCATTAAAATCACTATAGACCCCTTTCTCTCTCTGTCACCGTGGATACATTTGTCCAGTAGATTGGTAATATTTCAATGCTAACAGACTCCCACACACGTCAAAGAGCTGCTGATTCAGTTTAACCAGTATTTCTACTTAAGATCACTGACATAGAAATACTGCGCGGTCAGGTTTGTTCGTATATGGCGAGGTTTCGAATGCCAAACACGTCCAATATAGCGAAATTTTCAGACCGACGTCTTCTGATTAACATCACTTTTCATATACAATTCAGAGGTAAAATCTCTATTTATGCCTATTAAACACTCGTTTTCCTTATATACCGTTTAAACTCGATACTAGAATACACTTGTTATGACATCGAAGGTATGTCACGGAGAACCGGTCTGGAAATACACGCAAATCAGCTTCATCAGTCGGATTATAAATAAATAAATAAATAGTATACAGGTAGTTCCGATAGTTATTAAAACGTGCAATTAAATGTATATATGTATAAAGAAAAAAGTTAAAACACTGGTGTTTTAACATTTTTCTCTATATTTACTGGGCACGGAGACTATACCACATTTTCAATATATATAACAATTTACTCACTTCAATATCAAAAAGAGTGAAAAAAAACAGCAGTTGCAATGTTAAGTTTGGATTAATTCAATAAAACAGTAAAATAATTAGAAATGTAGATATTTTTTCTCTCTCTCTTAACCTTCATAAGAAGGAATTTTATTCCAATAAGAATGTTTTCTCAATGAACTTCAGATATATGACTGTAATGTTTGTACTGATATATACGTAGAAAAGGAGAAGCTAGAACATATATACATTCCACCAACAACCATAGGTTGCACAGCATGTCTGTTGTAAGTCATGCTCAATCATGCAGAACAAAGTTGCTTGCACGACAATTAGATGACAATTGTTAGGGTCAAATGTCAGTGGGTCATTACCGGAATCACTGACCAAGCAATTGTCCGTCAGTCAAACAACTGTTCCATTCCCCTCTCGAGTGCCTCTATGAATCATGTTGATACACCTCTTGGAGAGGGAAATTCGACTGAAATGAAGAGATCCTACGTTTCTGCCATAAATAAAACATCGTATGTCTATAAATCGATAATGTCTTACCCCCTGATACGATCAGCACAAAATGTAAAGACTTCAAACCACTTACCTAAGTCAGGACACTGAAAGGCTGAACAGGTGAGTTTCAAAACATCCAACACCGGCGGTAAACGGAAGTAGGCCTATAAGTATTCCAAACTGAGGCTCAACCGGAAATCATACAACTTGTTTACCGTGGTTACAGGTGCGAGAAGATCAGGGATTTTTGTCGATTTAGAATGATTTGAAGCAGTTCGAAATATCAAACTGCGTCTACAATCTGCAGTTGATAGAATAACACACGGTAAGAATGAACGATTTGTTGAAATTAGACCAAAACCATTGTTATATCGGATCACGATGGTGTTTTGGTCGTGGCGTTAAGTCTGGGGTTCAACAAGGGGGCGTTAATACAATGTTGTTTTTAAGACATTTGCTCCATTGAAAAGCATACTGTCCCCTCTGTGTCCAAGTGCAGCGTGCTACTCAGTATTGACTTTCCGTTTTCCTAACGTTAGATCTAAGTTTTAGGGCCAATAAGTTCAATATCAATAGGGTTGCAATATCATTCCTTGATTATAATTTAAACAAGTACTAGCAAGCCAGCACAAATATTTTCAGATCTAGGGAAGAATTTTAACCTTTCTACGAGATGAAATTTATGTGATTAACGTTGTAAGTCGGTCGTATTAACTCAGGTCTATTGCATAATCGAGAGGTCAGACAGTTTGGCCTGGATTATCGTCGGCATGCTCGTAATCCTGAACTGAAATAGAGTACGTGTAGCTGAGGTATTTACACACGATAACGAAGCCATCGTCTTTATAAACATTATCTTACATTAATTAACGCAAAAATCCTTTAATGTTACTCCAATAAATCAACTTAGATACTTAAGGAACGTACAGCATAGAGGTATATAACATATGATATTCATTTCAAGAAGCATCAGGGACGCGATCCAAATCTGGAATTATCTCCCTTTACTTGTTACTTGTAAAAAATATCGGTTTTAAGATATTCTAGTTTCCAGCCAACTGAAGTATATATTGTGTATTCGACTGGAGACAGTAGTTTCAAACCTAGGTTCAGACTAATTCAATTAATTTGGTTAATGTGGCGGAAACGAATTTCCCCTCTGATTTCAACAAAGGTTTTATCCCCTACCGATGTTGTCACAGTCACCATGCACTCTGGGAGGGATCGGTTTTGTTATGTCAGAAGTACTGAAATGTTCTCTCCAGCGAGGATATCGATGTAAAAATAAGAGTAAAGAAAGGAGAGTGGCTGGTCTCTGCATTCCTTTCACGTGACACGAAATGTGCACATTTCCAACCAATTATTAAGCGTTTATATTTACTTTATCCACAAGAACCCACTGCGAATTTATACTGAGATGTTATATTTGTGGTACATTTAATAACCAGCTGAGCTTTATTAGGATCGTCAAGAATTCTCGATAGCATAGAACAGTTCCCTCAATTAACTGGCGTATGGATAATCTCTTTTAAGGCGACACATTTTCTACATAAAGTTCGTTGTACAACTTGCATTGATGACACCAAGTTGATATATTTTAAGTTACCACTTTATCATTACAGATTAAAAGAACACATCCCAGTTTTGACCCTTGCCCTCTGTGAACCATGCGTCTTTACAATGATAACCAACCGAAGGATGTCACCGCATATCCAGGTTATGATCCTGGATACACCTCGCCACGCCCAGTTGCTCGTGTTAAACCGGAAGCAGAAGAGTTCGCATGTAAAGCACGCGGTTCCCTAGAGCTGTTTGGGTCTGGTGAGCCGAAAGTCATACGTGAACCAAAGCGCGAGCCGAGGTGCCAGACTGGCGAAGCCATGGATAACTACCAGCTAGGGAGAAATGGAATGGTGTCTAGCCTGCTTGGGGGTCAAGGAGGAGCTCCTCCTGTGTCTTCACGTGTGGAGCGCGTGAAACCGGAAGCAAGGGAAATCGCTGATGCTCATTCTGGAAGTGGTACGGCTTCGTTGTTAACAAATTATGGCAAACTACCGAGATCTGCACGCGCTGTACCACGTGTTAAACCAGAGGCGGAAGAATTTTCTGTGGTACACAAAGGTGGAAATATGAACAACTTGTTGCATGACCCACGCAAGATACCACAGTCTGCTAGACCTGCTCCTCGCGTCAAAGATGAAGCCCGCAATACCGCGGAAAAGGAGGGGAAATCCATGAACAAAATTTTGACCAAGTTCGCCGTAGGACCGATCAGTGGGCGCCCGGAACCTCGTGTTAAAAGCGAGGCTCAAGCCACGGCAGACATGGCAAAAGGTGGGCGCATGAATGATATGTTTACACAATACGGCCGAATGCCTTTGTCGGCAAAACCGGTGCCAAAAGTAAAGGGGGATGGAGAGGACAACGCAAATATGGCGAAAGGAGGGCGCATGTCTCGTTTAATGCATGATATTAACAAACTTCCGTCCGCTCCTCGGCCTGCCCCCCGGGCAAACTCGTCTGCAGCCAAGAGAAATATGAAAGCCCACCGCGGACAGATGGCGTCTGTATTTGCTCAACAAGGCAGTAGAACCATCGCAATGACAGCACCGCATTAGAATGGATGTTTGGGGCAGAATTGCCACATATCCTTTTTTCAACAGTATATTAAAAAGTCGGACATTTCCTTGAAAGAGACTATTATAATCAAACATCGGGGAGACGCTGCTGCATTTTAGATGGTGCTTTTGTTTGCTTCAAACGTTGAATGTTTACAAAATATATTTTTATTCAGTTATTGTCAACATAAACTTTATCTTATATTCAATGTTTCTTTTCTGATACCTTTAACTTCCTCTTACAAAATTGTCGCTAATCCGCAAGATAGAAATACGATATCCCATGATGCCAGGATGTGATGACGTATATGGCGTCCTAGGCAATCGAGTTACAGTGTCCAAACCAATTTATGTTCTCTTACCTTTCCCCTTTCCGAACTTCCGGAATAATAATCATTCGAAATGAATTTCAAGATCTCGGTAATTTTTGGGAGACACCTGATTCTTAAGATCGGGTATTTTCGGGTCTTTCCGGTGAACTCAAAGACTTGTACACTTTAGCGCGTTCCATGATAACTATACTTAGCTTTAGATCGTTTGTACAAGTTTTTGTTGAATTATATTAGACTAAAATGATGTTTATATAATATACCAGAAATAGGAAGGAGAGTCTCGTCTGAAGAGAAGTAAACGTTGAATCACGTGCTGCGCTCTCCCCAAATGTCCGTGATGCAATATGGTGTAGTTGTTTTTGTCACGCAATACATCTCAAGTATACGTTTTATTTCTACTCTTAACGAGTCTAAGGATGGGGTCTTTTTAAGAATTCATACATAAGTGCAGAATTCTATAGGAAGTTTATATTTTCTTATATTGTATTTTTTTATCTGAGATATTAATATTTGTAAAATGTATTTGATATTGATGTTCGCAATGTTGTTGTTTTTTTAATTTTTTTTTCAATTTGTCGCTGTACATATTCAGAAACATTCAATTTTCATGTCTTTTTTAACATATTTTGTGTGTAAGGGTAAAATCACCAGTAAATATTATACTGTATAAAAGTATTGAATTCATCAATATGGAGTTTGCTTAATGGATTTTAAGGATTTAATTCACACAAGGTTATGTAAATGTCTTGCGGAATAACTTTCATTTTTTTTTATTTGGTTGAACGTGCAATTTTCCATGTTACGTTGATAAAGTGTTTATTAACCTCTTAATTATCGTTGTTATCCTAAACTGATTTTTAAAAATTTTGTCTCTTAAATGGATTTACTTCAGATTTTAAACTATTACTGTGCTTTCTGTGATATTGTATATGTGTGTGATGTATGTGTGATGTAACAGTGATGTAACATGAGAGTTTGGTCGACTGTTGATTTAACTGTTGTGTCGTTGCTCAATTTAGGAAGCTTTCAATCCCTAATATCAAGCCATTGCGTTGGAACTATTCATTCACGTTGAATTCATGTTCCCATTTAAAGTAGTTTACACTAGCTGAGACGTCTCTGGAAAAAATAATGTTACATGTAGTAAACTTGAAATTAAAGGCAATCTAACCCCCAGTGTCTACGACTAGCTAACACAAAGTTTGGCTTCGTAGAACTGTAAAGAAATATTCTAAGGTTATTATTTCTAAATAAATTCGATTACTATGTATGTGGGTTATTTTCAGACCAATTCAGTAATCTTGATGGAAATTGGCCTGTGATTTTATTCAGAGGTACTCAAACGTTTTATACCGAGAACAAGAGCATCAATCTGATACTAATAATATTTTAATTTTAAGCTTTTGATATTTTGTATTAACAGGAAAAATAGAACTTAAATGTTCTGTGAATTTTTTATTTGTTCCAATCGATGTTATACTACAACATTATGATATCAAATTAAATGTGTTAGTGCATTTTTCATTGAACAATAAAAAATATTTTAAAAAATCAAAATGAATGTTGTAATTTTGTTTCAATGGTCAAGATCAAAGATGGCCACAGAAATTCAAGGGCGAATATTTACTTGTTTTTTAATCAACTGACACAGTAATTTTACGTTTATGAAGGATTGTGCAGTTCAATTTAATTTAATAAAACGATGAAACAAAGAAAATGTCTGGCCTGTTTTACTCTTTGTAAATCCTCTCATAGCGATTGTATGAATAGATAAATAACATGCTTTTTATAATGGAAACATTGGTAAGTCTGAATTTGAGTCATACCATCATTCTCCATAACACATTCCCGCTGTAGGATATTCATAATTTTTTTATCTGACGTCACATAATTTGGAGCAATGGTTATTCTGCCATCCGCATGACGTATGGTTAGAAATAGTAGGAAGATATAATTTATTCAATAACGATAGAAGCGTACTAGTAAACTGCCATCATGACTCCAAAGGGACATAACTCTATCTGTCTTAAACAAGGTTTAACTAGCTAACCGGTATACTGATAAAAATGTGTACACTCTTTCCATAAAATGGCAGGGTTTATCGTTGAAGCAGGAGACGTTCGCCTCTCTGGAATACATTGTTTTATTCTCCAGGAACTGTGTTGTCGTATTGTTCTTTGTTTTTTTTTTTAAGATAATTTACATTGCTAGCCACATCGTTTCAAGAATAAGTGTACTATGAAAATACGAATGAAAGTTTTATGATAAGGCGTGTTTATAAGGTTAGGATAAAGTACGTAATCTGATTAGACACCGTGATGTAGTACCTTTCTACACATAAACACAACAGGTACTGCACGATACCCACACACAAAGTACTACAAAACAAACAACGCGTTTTAGCAGCTTTTGTAGTTAAGTGGGTAATTTGATGGCAACAGTAAGTTCACGCAACTATTTACAAAATTTAGGATAGCAAATATATAGCAATAGTGTATAGGACTAAGAGTATGGAATATACTTTTATGTTCCATCTTACCACATATTTATTAACTCACCATTATAAACACTTGTACCTTACAAAACAAATTAAATTTGTCCAATTACAGATTGAGGGCAAGGTGCTCGACACATGGTTATTCAAACTTATTAACAGTGGAAAGATAAGAGATTGTTTAAAGAAATAACAGGATTAACGTACAAACTTTGCATGATCGAATAGAATGACAACTAGATTATCAGTGCCCGATATACAACATGTCTCATCATATCGCTTTGGGAAAACAGCCGGATCTAGCAGTTCTTTTTAAATGACATTTGAGGAAAAGGTGCTCATCGTTTCCAAGAACATTACATTTTGCAGAGCCTCGCCCTTCTTGGATTGTTTCCCATGCGGTCATTTGCTATTTCTAAATTATTTTCACGTGGTTTAGATACATCATTGTACTAAGTCTGATGGTGATTTATCATTTACTTGTTATTAATTGTGATAAACCCTATAAATCCGTATGTAATGAGTTATGCTGACTAAATATTCACTTGTCCTGGCGATAATTTGTCTAGATAAGTTACAAAACACAGTGACATTACAGTAATTGCATTTGGTGAAAAATGAAACCGTTGGCGAGATTCACACCTTTGACGAATGATGAATCAAGAAAAATCAATATTCAATGCTTTTAATGGATTGATTGTTATTCGGACATTAGAGATAGTAAACGTCTTTTTCGGTTGTAATTGTGTTAACCTCACTATCATCCTCTTACACGACAAGGTTAGAGCTTTAGTTTAAAATGTATTTTATTCCAGAGAATTTCATACAAAGGATGATTTAAAATCACAAGTATATAAGATACAACATGCTGATAAGGTAGGTATGACATATACAGAGACAACATGTGCACGATGACAATTTGTACACGAGTTAATTGAATATAAAGAATGAAAATACAGGGATCGATATGAATAAAAAGAAGAGTAATAAAAATGCTATCGAGTCTCATGATTTTACATGCTGGATGTAATACATTTGTGGTGTCACCTCTTTGGTAATCATAATTTTAGATTGTTTGTACAGCTCATTTTTTCAACACTTTGATAATCAGTAAATTGGTAGCTGAAATGATGTTGGAACTTTCATCGCGAGTCAATATGATTCACACAATGAATAACCCAACATTGCTTCATACATCACGTTACTCATGGAAATGAGTGGCAGGTATGCATTGTGTAAACCTCTATAACAGTTACTCAGATGTCAACGACAATCAAATTACTATATATAATACCGATATATTGATTCCAACCGTTTTTACGGTCTCTATGAACGCTTTGTCATGTGATGGACGTTATTAGCCTAATAGTAGATGTATATCTGAGCGTGTCTGATGAGAGAGTTTCTGATAGACTTTACACGTGTTTAACAGAGGTCGATAATGTTTTTATCATGTCAGTATAACGGGGTATGACGCGGAACTATCAAGATCGGAAAACGATTAAATGGATCGTGAGATTTCCTAAGGGTTGTACAAAACACACAAGTGAATAGCACCGTTGTAAATACAAATTTAGAACTTGATACAGTAAAGCCCAACAATGAATTAAACAACATCATATTGCGGTTTCGCCCTTCTAGGCTAAATATTGTAGTCTACGAGGTGACCGAGGAAAATTCAAAGTGATCGAGAGGAAAGTAAAAATACAGATGGGAAGGCGCCCCATGATTAAATAAATTTTATAATTTCCATTTATCAGATAATCTTAAAACAGCATCAAGGATATGTCACGGTATATTCTGAACCGCGCCCCCATTCGACTGAATTGAAATGTATCATCCAGGTTAGGCAGACCTCGGGGGACTGAAAGTTAACCAAACGCTTGTGTTTGCATGCTGATTTCTATTCATATATTTTGACAATATTTTTGCTACTAGTGTTTGTGGCAATACAAATTTATCATAACTAGTTCGCGTATGTTTGAAGGTAGGAATCTGACTTTTTATGTAACCATAGGAAACAGAATAAAATGAAAATAAATTCTATAAGATATCATTTACAAATTAACAAAACAAATTCTGATGTTACTTTTTCGACGTTTAGGAATCTTTATTTTTGTTTGTTTTGATGTTGTTTTTTTTTTGTTCTGCTGTTTGGTTCCTTTTTCTATTTG